AAAAAAAAAAAAAAAAAAAAAGTTACAATACTTTCTTTATAATTTTTGAGAGGGTTAAAGCTGACTATAGTCCTTGTACTATTTATTTTCGTTCATTTTTATCCCTCTACTCTCCAAAAGTACTGTTTTCGTCCATTTACTTCGGGAAAACAATATGTTGTCCTCCCTCAATTGACACCGTTACTAACTTTAGAGTAACGGCGTTCATTTCACAGATAAGTGTTAAACTTAAACTTTTTATTAAAATAATTATTTTCAATTCCAATTTTTAGTGGGAGGTACCCTGGCCATGCCACATCAGCCCATAGCCATTCCTTCTATCTTATCCCCCTTCTTTCCTCGTGCAGCCTAATCCTCAAATTTGCAGCAAAAACTTTTACATAGCAAAATGTTATGCGCTTTTTTTTTTTTGAACACTTTATGACAAATGTAGTTTAAAGCATAAAAAAAATAATTGGTACATTATCTAATTTGTTATACTTTTTAATATTTATCTAGTTTAATTATTCAAATTATTAGTATAAATATAGTCAATTTAATTATTTCTTGTATTCTGTATATATAATTATATTTTTAAATTTGTCTATATTTAATTTTAGATTAAAAAATAATAATTTTTTAATGAGTGTATTGTTCAATATATTAAATTAGAAAATATACTAATTAATGTCCTTAAGCATGTTCAATCAACAAGAGACTTATTATTAATCAAAGGATTTTTTAACCTATATTTTTAATACACGTTTTAGTCATTAAATTATATAAAAAAATAAAAAAGTTTATATTAATTTTAGTACCAGTCTCTTATGTATTAATTTAATTATTTAGTTACTATAATTAAGGTCAAATTTTATTTTTCACATAACTTAATTATTAAGGTTTTGAGTTGAAATGTGAAAATTTTAATTGGCACAAGGGCAGTGATGTGCTTTGAAGAAACCAAATGCTAATCTAGAAAATGTCACTGTGATGGATGAGGATGCTTTGAAAGCCAAATCCGAAAATATTAATTAAAGTGTAAAAAAAGGTTTTTTAAATAATATAATGATTTGTACATTTTTTAAAAATTATTATTTTTAATTTAAACTCAAAAATAAATAAATTTAAAAATGTAATTATACATATAAGATATAAGAACTGATTAAATTAGTTGTACTTATATTATAATTTTAATATTTGAATTGGATAAGTATCAAAAAGTATGTTAAATTAAGTATATATTAATCATTTTTCTCTTTTATAATTTGGTTTTTATTGTTTAATTGATAAAAATATAGAACTATTTAACGTGTATGAATAGTGTCTAAATAGTAAACTGTAAATATAATCAAATGTCTACTATTGAAATTAATAAGTAAAGTGGGTTAAAGTGAGTTAAGGGATGAATAAGTGTTATTTTTTATTGTGTAATATAAAATAATAATATAATAATATGCAATATTTATTTCTCTGCAGGCAATGAGAATCAATCTTATTCCTTTTTCCTATGCATTGATTCCTTCTGTCTTTTTTAGCTCAAATCTGTGTCTTGAAATATGAATTTGTTTTGATTAATGATTTTTTTAGCATAAGCTCTTAAGTCATACGCTAATGATGTAATTAATTTACCTTTTAATCATAAGTAATATAAAAAAATAAAATATGATTTTAATTTTAATAACTAATTAATTAAATTAATATACGTGATATTGATGTTAATTAAAACCAATATCAATTAATTTTAGATTAGATGTAAGTTTTATATTGAAACTCAAGAATTTAATTCATTAGTAATTAAGTGTTATTTTATAAGTTAAGTATAAGGTTCAAGTTTTTAAGTTAATACCATAAGAAATTAATTTTTTAGAATGTACTAGACTATTGTGGGGGCGTATTTTAAGATTAGTCAAGGAGGGATTAGTCTAGAAGTGAATGAGAGCTGACTCAAGAATATCTTAATTGTTAATATAAAAAAAAACTAATATTAACTTTTTTTTTTCATTTTTTATGTAATTTAATGATTAATAGATGTATTAATTATTGATGACTTAAATAATTTAGTGATAAATTTTTTTTTTGTTGGAAGTAGGAGTTTGAGTTGTAATATGAATGAGGTAAAATAAGAAATGAGAGAGAATTATTTTTTGTTGTATAATCAATATAAAAAAAAGTATATTAATTATATTCTTCACATGTGCTAAAGAACATAAATTAAAAAAATCGTTTGGTTAATAATGTGCTCTCTTGTTGATTGAATATATTTAAACTACATGTGGGATAAAAAAGTGCAAAAAGAAAAGAAAAGAGCATAATATTTTGCTATGTAAAAGGTTTTGCCAATTTGAGGATTAGGCTGCACGAGGGAACATGACGATACTAAGAATTGTTATTTGGGCTGATGTATTATAATCATGGGTACCTCGCACTAAAAAATGAGATTAAAAATAATTATTTTAATAAAAAGTTTAACACTTAACTGTGAAATGGACGACGTTACTCTAATGTTAGAATTGGTATCAATCGAAGGATGACAATATAACGCTTTTCCAAAGTAGAGGAATGGCAACAGTAAACTTTTGAAGAGTAGAGGGGCGAAAATGAACTATTTTGGTGTACAGGGATGACAATGAACGAAATGCATAGAACAAGGACTATAATTGGCTTCAACCTTTTTGGGAAAATTATTGAGACAAATTTTTTGTATTATTTTTTTATAATTTTAAAAACTATTTAATAATTGACACTTTTTTCATAATAATATATATCGATTTAGAATTAAAATCTTCCAACTGACACATGCTTGTTTATTGGGTCACGTCAGCTTACTTTTTGGTATGAAATAATTACCCCTCCTAAACCAACATAACGTGGCCCAATGAAAATGGATGTGTTGGTTGGAGAATGCAAATGACGAGTGTTCCTATCATTGCCCTTGTAATTAAATTTTCACTAGTGGACATAGGCTACAGCTGTATAAAGACCTGAAGTACGGAAAGCTGTCCTCAGTACGGAAGTCAATTACGGTGCCCTTTTTTTTCATTAGTATACCTCGCCTGACCCCAATGGCGCTGTTATCCGTGTCCTTTAACGCTAATTGGGGTAAATAAATAAATAAATAATTAGCTTTTCTAAACTTTATTTTAAGGTGGTTTTATTAATTATATTTTTTAATAATTAATTTATATTAAAAATTAATTTTAATTTATCAATTATCTTATTAAAAGTATATAATATTAATGATAAAAATAAAATTAAT